CATTAACACGAAAAGGAGTTAATTCTAGCTACAGCAGCAGTGGTGTTATTAACACAGAAGATGCCATGCAGCTTTGGGTGGCCTGCTTAGACGTATTTCAGCTACGTTTTTATGGACACTAGGTCTCCCTCCAGCATTTGTGAAGCTGAGTTTATGAACCCAAACCTAGGAATTTATAGAATTCCCTTCTGCATTTCATCTATGCCCCCTGTTTTAATATGTTATTTTCAGAACTTTACTAAGCAGGTGGCGTTAGAAACCAACTTTACCCAGTGTGGGCTGCCCAACCTAGTGTGTGGGCTGCCCTAAGCTCTTTCTGTTTTTTGGTTTTTTTCTAATCTTCTACTTTGGAACTGCTATGTTTTCTCACAAATCCCCCGGCAGTGTGATAGTGCTGGTAGAGAAACCAGAACTGGGAGAGGAAAGGAGTAAGCATTTATATGCACAAGTCACGCATAAATCAGAGAAGTGGGGCACATGAAATATGCTAAAATGCGTCTTTTAATGTAACAGTAGCAACTTTTATCTGTGTAGCGCTTCAAGATGCACAATTATCTTCATTTATACTTTCTCCTTCTGATTACACCTGTGTGATGCATTCTTTTTTGAACATAAACTGACTTTGAGACCCAGTAGAGGTCCCTAACCTTGAATGTTCATCAAAATCAGCGGGAGGACTTATTAAAACAGGTATCTGCCCCCCACCCCAGTCCCCAATTTTCTGACTCCATGAGCTCTGCAGTGGAGCCTGAGAATCCGCATTTCCAACAATTTGGAGTGATGCTGCCACTACTGGCCTGCGGACCACTGTTGTGAGATGCTCTGCCTTGGGGAAAAGACACACATACCGGTCATTTGATATAAAAGCATGGTGGCCTTTTCCATAGGCAACTGTGTTTATCACTGAACTTTCAAATGGGGAAGGATATCAATTGTTAGGGGGGAATTATAAAAATTATTTTTAACGCTCTCAAACTGCAAAGGAAAAAAGGTTACACAGACAATCCACACCACACACACACACACTAATTCACTCTTTACACAAGAGATCAATTCCAGAATCAGTACATCCTAATTGTAAGCAGGCTTTCCCCTGGAGCTCAACTTTCCCTTCTCAGATACACCTTGCCCACAGACTCACCCACCAACCCCCCTTTATCACTAATTACATTGAGCTTTCAACAGTTACCACTTCTACCCTCCCATTAGCATTCCCAGTATCTTTTAGCTAGAGGTTTTCTTCTAAGGCCCAATCCCTAAAGTCCTCTAAGCAGGACTCCTCTCAACACTCTCTCCTTAAACACTAGTTTTCAAGCTAATTGTAGGGTAGTGGTGAAGACCAGGAGCTGTGAAACCAGACCAAGGTCAACCACACATCCTGCCACAAACTGCTTAGCCTCTTAGAGAGCTTCTCTAATTTTCTCGTCTAAAGAATGAGATACTAAGTTATTATATTAATAATCATTTATTAAGTAAGTTCTATACAGTTATTGACGGGTACGTGTTATATACTGTTATATGTCATGTCAGCAGCTGAAGTCATCAAAGAGCAGTATCTTGGAGGTCAATGATGATAGCACAATTGTGAAGCCACGTGTAATGCTTATAGGTGGTCTCTCTATGAAAAAGGGAGTTTTCTGTGGAGAGAGGTGATGAAGAGCCTTGATACCTGTGTGCTCATCTCAGGTGCATCACGCCCTCCTCTGCCAAAAATGGTCTTTTAGTTTTAGAAAGCCAGGCATATATTAAGATATATGTTGGTAATCGTAATAACTCATAATCCTTATTCTCCATCACTAAGCACTAAACATTTTAAAATAATGCACTAAATACAAAGCCAAATAAATTATAAAATCCAGAAACTGGGGCTCATAGTAAATGGTGGAGCAAGAACGTGGAGTTGCCGTGACTCCTTCACACAGTAGCAATATGTGAAAGCTTACTCTTCTTACATCAGTGTTTCTCCAAATTTTGATCCCCTTCCCCACTCGATTACTGTGTGCTATTTCAAAAACCAGTAAGTTTGTAAAAGGAGAAAACACTAACTATACACTAAAATGCCAGATCCCAAGATGCCAGATCCTAACTCACTAAACCCTTTGAAGTACTCACACTATGGTAAATATTATGGCTGACCAACATCTCTCTAGAGTACAATTGCCTTGTAGTTCATCTATGGTAAGAGACAGGGATACAATCAGTTTAGTGTGTCCTGTAATACAAGGAAATGTATAGATAAAATCACCTATTGCATCACCCAATCAGTGGTCACCTTCTTTAGAATCCTTTTCACTTTACTAACATTAAATCTAAATTGTTCCAGTAATTTAAAAAAGTTGCATTTTTATAAGGAATATCAACCCCCATTAGAGGTGAGTGTGGGGAATCAAACTACTAGAGAATGCAAAAATATACAAAGAAGATATACAAGGGAAATCCATCGTGACACTGGTGTTAGGGGCAAAATACTTCACATTATAGTCCCATGCCATTATGACAATTTATTTACATCACTATGTGTAAGAGAAAATGATGTAAACCCAAAGTAGGTAAAAATCTACTACAATGAATACCTACATTGGACATAGTAGTCTTATTTCCAGGTCCTAGTTATTAAACTCAGACTAAAAGTGGTTTATTGATCTGTTTACAACACTCCAAAGACAAAACTAAAACTGTTTTGTTCTGACATAAGAAAAAGCAATGGAAAGCACTCAGTCCACTGCCTGCTACATGATAGGCACTCAGCGATGAGTTCCCGAACTCACTGACCCAAACATAAGTTCTAACACCCTTCAAAGGGCATCCACTGAAAATTCTCAAATGGAGGCAAGCACACATTGGATTAAATGCCCATATTAACAAGACACTGAATTATTAAAGTAAACATTCATTTCGTACACATGATAGGTCAGGTTTTAGGTTGGCAATGATGAACCAAGGAAAGAAACCAATGAGGCTCCAGAGGAGGACTGAAAGAGAAGCCAAAAGCAAGGTTAGTGTGAAGAGCAAACAACATATTCTTTAAGTTCTAGGTCTGTCAGAGAACACACACCTGAGGTTAATTTTCTAGGATGACAAAGAATGACAATGATTCTAGAACCTGGATTCGGGGACTCCCAGCACTGCCAGATACATTCACTTCCAGTCAAACTCTTGGACAGCCAGTGGAAGCCACCCTAGCCACCCCATGAGCTGCTAGCCCTGGGGGCAAAGATACCAACAGTGGCCAGTCTGACAAAGTCAACTTATCTTGGTTTAGCCTCAGATCCTACTAGGTGTGGCCCCTCAAAGCATCCTCAGGGTCATGTCTTTTCAATGCGATGCTTAGTACCTCAGAATTTGACTTTATTCTGCCAGATAAACTGAGATCCTCAAAACCGCATTCCTACTAAATCCTCCACAGTATGGGTGCTCTACGGTTCTTTCAAAGGGCATCTCCTTTGATTAACTTAGTCCAAGTTCTCCAGGATTGGGTATAAAAAAGCCTGTGTGTACCCAGTCAGGTTTCACCCACCCCTCACCACCACCCCTGCCCCCCCGACCTGGTCGTCTTAGATGCACTGTGCTATGTGGCGATTCTCCCCAGCCTTAGAAGATTGATTCTCCCTCTTTCGGTCTTGCTTGGTATTATACTTAGAACCAACTATGGCCCATCCACCTGTTTCTGAATTCCAGTGTTAGCCTTAAACTCAAGAAATCACTCCTAACAGATCTCTCTCTAGTGTTACACAAGAACTAAAACCTCACTATTAGTCCGGGAGAGTTCAAAGGTCCTTGTTAAAATTATGCACGCTCTGGAGCACTGGGTGTTAAAATGCAAATAATGAATCATGGAACACTACATCAGAAACTAATGATGTACTATATGGTGACTAACGTGATAAAATAAAATTATGCATGCTAAATTGAAATAATGGATTGAGCTAAAAATCATAGTTTTCCATTTTGTCAAGATGATTTAGGGTGAAAATTTTCAGGATTAACTTCCCATTATTGTGTATTATGGGGATAAACTGCCCCAGTTTTTCATATTAACACATATTTACATTATGAGTAAAGTACTCATTCCTTCACTCCAAAAGTATTTGAGTGCCCAGCACTATGCTAGATCCTGGGAATACAGTGAACAAATCCCAAGTAAACACAATACAGCAGACACAATCCCAAAATGTCATAATAACATCTACATTGTGATACCTATCTCTCCAAAATAACCTAGCAGATTTTGAATATTTAATGGCAAAACAAACTGGGTAGTACGGTGGAACCCATGGGAAAACTAAACATCTATCATTTAAATCTTTCTACACATTATAAACATGTATTAATTATAAGCAACACTGGATGTAGAATTATTTAAAAGAGCTAATGTTTTGCTTTTAAAACTGCTATTATTATGCATATATGAATCGCATAAAGGGTACTAATAGCTTGAAAAGAACTGCTTGTTAAGAGTAACAGTAATAAGATTCCAGACAGCAAAATTTTCAGGCTAAGAATGAAAAAACACAGCACAATGACTTCAAAAGTAATATATTGCACTATATATATATATATATATATATATATATATAGTCTCAAAGCTATTACTCTTCCTAGCACGTAAAAGATAAATTTTCTTTTCCAAACTTAATTGGTGGTTTCTGTATAAGGAATATGCAAATATATTAATTTTCTTACCAAAATAGAGCCCAATATATGAACATTTAGGGGGGAAAAGTCTGTCCTTCATTTTAACATGCACCTGTATGTAGAAACACATATACTCACAGGAGTGACAGACACTGACAAAAGGTTAACATTTAGCAAAGGCAAAAAAGGAAACAAACAAACAAAAACCCTGCTAGGCCTTTTTTTCTGCTTGACAGAGAATGGAGAAAGTTAGCAAAGTAACAGAAAGGGATACAAAAACCACACTTCAAACAAACCAACTGCTTGTCAGTACTAGGACTTGAGTTGACAAACAGGTTTAATCCACTTCCTCAAAGGCCATGCTGTCAAGGTGAAGGAGGAACTTCTGCTACCGCAGGAGGCTGGCTGTCATTCTGAGGAGTGGGCTCCTCCTCCTCCTCCACCACACTGGTCACTTTGTCGGACTCTCTCGCAGGAGGAAGTTCGTTGTTTGTCCCCTCTTCGCTAGGGAGGTTACCAGACAATTCATTCGACATGAGAACTTGCAAAGATTCCGTTCCATCTTCAACATCCACCTGAATGCCCAAAGCTTTAAGAATGTCGCATTTGCACATAGGACATGTCCCATGGGCCAGAATCCAGGGGTCGATGCAATTCTTGTGGAAGAAGTGTTTACAAGTGAGAATACGAACCGTATCGTTAGGCTTATAGAGTTCGAAGCAAACTACGCAGCTATCTCCGTTGGGACTGATCTCCGCGTCCCCCTCCTTCAGCACCCGAAGCTGGAGCTGGCCAAAGGCTTTCTTGAGATCGGTCGTTAACCGTTGCCATCTCCGGTTCTGAATCCTTGCTACCCAAAGTCTCCAAATATGATAAAAGATGAAATATGCTAAAGTAGCAGTTGTGACAATCACAAAAGACACAAAATAGTGATTCATCCAGATGATGTGTTTTCTCCCCACCTCAACTATAGCTGTGACGTGAACTCCCTTCTGAATTAAGTGTAAAATCTCCATGCCCTTCAGGTTACCGATCATCACCACAACGATGTCTTCAAATGCCTGATGAGACATGGGAAAAACTTGATTACCAGTTCCGGGAAAGTTGTAGATGATCACGCCACTGGCTCCCTTCTCAACAGCTACCTTAACTTTCTGTGTGAAGGTACAACCTCCCCGTTCAACGAGTGCGAGCCAGGTCTCGGAGTTCTTTGATCTTCTGAAACTGGTAGCGGGATTACATGCATTTTGAGTTTTCCCCTCTGGTGGCACAATAACTCCTGCCACTCTCTTCAAAGTGGAGCTTCTTCCAAAGACTCCGGTTTCCCCCAACTCCGACAACATGCGATTCCCAACGTGAAAGGATATGTTCATGTAAGCAGTCCAAACAGCACTAGCTCTGCAACAGTTCTGACAAAGAAGCCAAAGAAAACCGAGTTTCACAAGCCAGGAAGATGCAGGGTTGTTTCCGTGAGTGCCAAGCCTGAGCAGATTCATGTCTCTCCTTACCTAGAGACTGAAGTGCCAACCCAACAGAAAGATGTGGCTTCCACATCTGTTGACAATCAATGGAGAATAACAACATGAGAAAAATCTTCTGAGTGAAAACAAGTTTCACAGTCTTCCAGCATGTTTTTTGTCAGAAATTCTTAAAGATGTCTTAGGAGGTTCAGATGTTTTATTAGAGAGAGAAAGAGAAACACTTTAGATTGAAAAAAAAAAAAATCGCAGTCTCACTAATGTAACTCCAGATGCTGTTTACAGTTGGGTAATGTGATTATGACGTAGAAGGCAACACAGCCAATTAGAGAAGAGCTTTGAGCCTGCTAGAAAAGTACTGGCCTAAATGGTTCAAATACTGTTATGGGTGATTTCTAGGTTGTAAGATCAACTCAATCCTTGAGCTACACGTTAACAGGTAGCACTTTCAACAGAAAAATATAAAATTCATACAACACGCGCACATACAAAACTTGAAAGCATATGCAAGAAAGCCACGGGATTGTCATTTTTCTTGACAATACGTCAAGGAAACATGTCATAAAATGGCAAGTTTTAAATAATTAGAAATTAGTACTAGGAATAATTATGTGGTAAAAGCAGTGGACTCTAATACCACTTTTGACTCACATTTGGTCACCGTGCCAGTGAGCCTATAAACCATTACACTAAATTTATTTAATGATGGCTTGCTCAGGTATGTTGGTTCACTTTGGTTTTGATTCTGATTTTTAAAAGGAGGATTTTGATTTCCAAATCCTGTTAGATTACTTCAGCTCCCCTTCTTCACTCTTACACTGATTCTCCATAGGGATGACAGCGGTAAAGAACACTAATCTCTTTTCTCCGCAGATCTTGGCATCTGCTACTGATCTAACAGTATTCTGAAGGAAGAAAGGAAGAACAGAAGCAAAAACTGGTATGTAGCAGTCTAGTTTAGCATAATTCATTTTAAGCAAAAACGCAGCTATTGATTTTAAAAAGAAAAACGTCAAGGTCCCCATTTAGAGTTAACCACCAACAGCAGTGTTAAAGGTCATAGATGCTCGGAACAAAACCTTTGTCAAAATCAACATCCCTGGTAGACCCAACCTCTACACACACACCCATTGTCAGCTCTGCCTTTATTTTTGCTACACTTATATCAATGGCACAAAATGACTCGAGACCAAAACAACCTGTGAAGTAACGAATGTGGCCAACCCCTGGTGCTGTCACACACTTTCTTGAAGGTTATCTCAGTGGTTCTTATCCACTAGCTAGGAAACCAAGAACTTTGACCTTGAACACAAAGGTCTGACCTTTATACACAGGACACTAAGAGACCATTTTGGTTGGGTCTTACCAGGACTAAGGGAGCTAGTTCTTTTTATGAAATGTGAATCAAAATAATTTGAGGCAGGAAAGGAGGAGGAAAAGGCCCTATAGACCTAACCAAAACAGAATAAAAAGAAAATATTATCGTGTAAACTATAGCTCACCACGGTCCATTTTCTTTCCCAAAGGCCATTAATCTGATTTTATTTCCATACAACCCATTCTTCCAAGTGTGTAGTACATAGTTTGTAGACTCAAAGTGCCATCCAAGTTGGATATCAATAGTTTAGCATTTCACCCAAAAGTATTTGTCAAAATCAGAACTCAAATCTTTCAGCCGCTTATTGTTATACATAGGTGTTTGCGTTTATCTACTCAAAAAGAGAAGCAAAATATGGCAAAATACAGAACTTGAAATGCTAATTAAAATTTTAGTTCCACTCTAGATCTATATCAAAATGGCCAGAGACACACTCACCACACACCACCAGTATTGTAAGAAAACAATTATTTACTAACGTCACTTCTAGAAAGGAAATCTGCTACCACAGCTAATTTACTATACTAGGATTTAAAGGGCTGTGGCAAACAAAAGTGATTTTTTTGGTGTGATCCTGCCCTAAATGAGGCTTATAATGATTTAAAATATTTTAGTTATATAACCAGAGGTGTTATCATCTAAAATAATTACTTAGAACACATTACTCAGTACCTTTGAAAACCATTTCCTGATATTAATTAACCATGGAGAATTAAATCAAGATCTAACTCTATAATGAAAGTTATTTAACAGCAATATTAGTTATCAAAAATATGGAAATAAAATATAAAAAAGAAACTTCCAAGTATCACGACTCACTGTGGCCTCAATGTCACAACCATTTTAGCTTGCAGACTAACTTGCTTTTAACATATACTAATATTCTTACTTGGATAAGGGCAAAAAAGTAGCAACCTAATGAAAAAACAACAAGTTCAAATAGCTGGGCATGATATGGAGTTTTATTTTTAAAACACACAAATGTCATCCTCTTTAGTACTTAGGTAGAGAAGATGAAGTTGTTTTTTTTTTTCTCTACATAAAGTGCTAAAAGAGAATTCATTTCATTTTAATCTTTGGAAAGACTTGGTTACATCTTCGGAAGCTTCTCCAGGTTTAAGTTTTCAGAATATCACACTTGCACATGGGGCATGTCCTATGGGCTAAAAGCCAGGGGTCAATGCATGCCTTATGGAAAAAATGTTTGCAAGTTAAAATACGTACTACATCTTGGGGTTTGTAAATGTCAAAGCAAACAACACAACTGTCTTCATCTGGATCTAGTTCCTTATCCCCTTCCTTGAGCACGCGCAGTTGAAGCTGACCAATAGCTTTCTTCACATCTGCTTTTATCTGTCTTCGCCTCCTGGTGGAAGAATTGGGCACCCTAGGTCTCCACGCACAGTACAAGAAAAGGTAAGCAACCGTGGCAGCCAGGAAGGTGAACAGAGACATGATATAATGGCTCAGCCATGGCATGTGCATTCTCCCCACTTCGATGATGATCGTCACATAGACTCCCTTCTGAATCAAGTGCAAAAGTTCCATGCCTTTCAAGTTCCCTATCATCACGGCAACTATGTTTTCTGTTCCCTGGTGAGACATGGGAAACACTTTGTTGCCCGTACCTGGATAGTTATAGATGATCACCCCATTTGCTCCCTTCTCTGCTGCCACATTGATCTTATGTGTAAAAGTACAGCCTCCCCGTTCGATGAGGGCCAACCAAGAGTCTGCTTGTTCAGGCCTGCTGAAGTTGGTCATAGGATTACAAGCATTCTGATTCCATCCTTCAGGAAGTACCACCGCACCAGACACCCTTTCCAAAGGAGAATGATTTCCGAAAACGCCACTCTCTCCTAATTCTGATATGATCCGATTTCCCACCTGGAAGGTTATATTCAGGTGGGCCGTCCAAATGGCTTTTCCTTTAGAGGCAGGAAGGCTAAGTAGTAGAAAGACGCTAAGCCTCAACAGTTGGGATGAAACAGAACTATGAGTTGAAGGAGTAATTCGAAGTAGGCTCATTCCTCCATCTGCCTAGTAACTGACAAACGAAAACGAAAAGTCAATTGTAAAACAAAGAAGCTAACTCCAATGGCTGGCAGTAGATATCAAAGCGCATCAATGGAAAAAGGTCTGCGTCGATCAAAGGTATGCTGCTCCTTCCAGCATTTTTATTTTTGGTACATTACGGTTCTTATAATGAAACAGAATAACAAGAGCTGTTATTACTACAATGTGATTTCAAGAAAATTATGACTTCCTAATGGGGAAATTGTGACATCAGAGGTAGTTAAGCCAATCCAGTTGCTTATATTAGAGCCTTGCATGCTAAAATCCTATTGGCCAAAAAGCTACTAAGCTAGGACTCATGGGATAGAACAATTTGAATAAACTCTAAAGCAATAAACAGGGAAATTTATTATTTTTAAGCCTTGAGTTTCTTCTCCAGTTCTGGATTAAATGAAAAGCTGCCTAAAAAATACTTTATATTCATTGTTTTTCTGTTAAGCAAAGTATAAATCATTTATGTATTAGTGTATGTGGTTGGCCAGTCACCAGTTCTCATGCATGGTTCTACGCTACCCAGTATTCTAATCTATGGACAGTAGGAACAAATCGTTCCCACTCTCTTCCAACATTAAATGCTTATCCCAGATTCAACATGAGGACAATAAACATGCTGTAAGACTGATACATTGCCAATATGCAAGGGGAATTCAACTTTTCACTAAAATAGTTACTAGGAACCCACTGAGTGTCAGGCAAACACTAAGCCTGGCTCATACAGTGGAGAAGCAAACGCACACACACCTATTGGCGCTCACTCTCTGGTGGGGGCAGATTTAAACACAAGCAGATGTATAGTTGAAAGTTGAGACAGTATGGTTCTGAGAGGAAAACCGGAGTATTAAGAATAATATAAAAGGAGCCAGACGTTGATTAGCGGTCCAAAGCATTGCTCCCCTAAGGAAGTGGTACTCAGTCTAAGACTTGAAAGACACATCAGAATTACCCAAGAAAAGAATACTATTTCAGAGAGAGGAAATGCCAGTTTCAAGACCCCAGCACAGCAAAGGACACAGCAAGTGGAAGGATCAGAAACAATATGTGTTTGGCAAGATGAGAGGAGAGAGTGCGAAAGGTAACTAGAGAGGGACGTAAATGTTACAACCAAGGGCTTTGGGTTAGGTCCCAAGGACAAGAGAACCATGCTGGAGGGCTCCAAGCTAGGGAGGCCACTTATAAGCATTTCAAAACATTCACTTGTTATCCAGTGCACTTTGGCTGCCCTCTGTGGGAAGTGAACTGGAGTCGGAGAGCAGAGCGGTGAGATGAGCTTAAGTAGACAGTGGCTTGGACTCCTGAAAGAGAGCAGTAGAGAAGCAGAGGCACAGACAAGTCTTTGAGTTACTGCAAAGGTTGAATTAACAGATGTAGTTACTGGAAGGGTAATAGCAGACTGAGGAAAGGATGACCACAACCGTCACCTATCACTGTATTACTTTATTGTTGCAAACCATGGCATCTTTACTGCTTTAAAGATCCTTTAATGCTGGTTTGCTTCTATTTGAAGTCTTCACCTGAAGTCTGTTTCAAGGCTTCAATAAATTGGCAACACTCAAACATTTGTTAT